AAAAAAAAAAAAAAAACAAAAAAAAAAACCAACAAAAAAGTGCAAAAATACATAGTTAATGACACTTGTTACGCTTCGAACCGAGGTGTTAAACTGTCCATCGACAATTGAATGACAACCACGCAAGCGATCATCCCATTCATGCGAGTGTTTAGCACAATTATCGTCCGTCCGTCTGTCCTTTACGTAGTTGCCTATTCGTCTATTTGTATTCTAAACAATTGTAAGCTTAAATTATTAGCGCCAACGGCTTGCACAAAAGCTCAAATATTCATTAGTACTTACATATGAATGAATGAATGTATGTATGTATGTATGTATGTATGTACATATTAGCGGATATACTCTCTTACATACATACATATGTATTCACTTAGCGCTGCGTACACGATCGTTCGTACAATCGATCGCTCTTGTTACCGTTTTTTATTTAGGCCAATAAAGCCATCAACAACTATTTATTATTGGCCATTTGATTGAGCGACGAAGCATATATGTACATATGCACATTAGGTTAGTCCAAAAAAGCGAAGTCGGTATTTTTATGCTCTCACCCCCTAGGATTGTTCCATACCGAAAGAATATACATACTTCTATTTTTTTATTTTCAAATCAAAAAATATTTAAAGGTCGCTCAAAGCGCTCAAAGTTTTCCATGTATTTTATATGGAGAAAAATAACTTTTCGTAGAAATGCTATAGAATTCTTGAAAATCAATATTTTTCGATCGGAAAACTGTGTTTCTCTTCAGAAGCCTTCCAATAATAAAAAAAAACAATTGTTTATTTAACCATTTTTTAATACCATAGATTTTTTATTTGTCTCCCCAATGCATTTTCTGGGGCTTTTGGCGGACCTATAAAATATAGTTACTATGAAAAAATGGTTAAATAAACAAATTTGTATTATTACTGGGAATCTCCTGAAGAGAACCAGACTTTTCCGATCGAAAAATATTAATTTCATATAAAATATGTACGTGGAAAACCTCGAGCGCTTTGAGAGACCTCTAAATATTTTTTGATATCAAAATAAAAAGGAAATGGGGGTTTATTTTTTTTCGGCATAGAACAATCCTAGGGAGTGAGAGCATTAAAATTCCGACTTTACAATTTTTATTTTTATTTTTACCACCCTAATGTACATACAGAAATATACAGCGAAGAACCAGTGATGCCAGACATTCTCTGTTAAAAATCCCACGAAAATGGGGAAAAAATCCCTCAATTACCCACATCTTGAAAATTTATCCCACAAAATTCCCAACGAATTTAAACATATACATGTTTCAGTAGTAAAGAAGTAAAATTCATATAAAATAATAATAATAGTTTGGCGCTTACACATATGTGCTTTTCCTCCAATTTGTGGCGGTCCCCTTGATGTGGTCACACAAAGGGGAGGGACCTACAGTTTTCCGCCGACTCCGAATGGCGAGTGTATTTTTATGAGAAGCTATTTTTCATGGCAGGAATACACTCGGAGGTTTGCCATTGCCTGTCGAGGGCCGACCGCTGTTAAGAAAAAACCCCTTTTTCTGCATTTTTTTCACTCATTCATTTTTTCCCTTTCATTTTTTTGCTCACTCACTAAGGGCCTAAAAGAATTTTTTGGTGACTTTAAAATTGAAGCACATTCATGTGCTATTTAACATTTCATCAGATAATTTGTTCCGCTTTTTACATGAAATACCAGTCACAACTGAAAAGATTCTTTCTTACTCAGCGCTTGAATTGGTTAACATAAGAAAATTTTCAAAATTATCCTTATACTTTTTAACAATTATATACCATTTCACTCCACACATCTTCAGAACGATTAATTAAGTCGAATGTCGAACATTCGTGAATTTTGGTCAATTATGCAACAATAACTGCGTCAAAAGAAAATCCCTTATTTATATGAAATGTCCCTTTTTTCCCTTTTAATAATTTTTGATGCAAAATATCCCTCAAATAGGGAAATTTCCCACAATCTGGCACCACTGCGAAGAACATGTGTATATTTGTAGTAATACTCTGCAGTATTCAAATAATTGATAATTTTGCTCGCAATATTTTAGTTGATTTATTTGCACTGTGTGTGTGTTTACATTTTTTTTTGTTTTTTGTTAATTTTATTTATTTAACTGTATGTATCAATGTATGTACATACTTATGTATACATAAATTTTGCTTATTGCCACGAATTCGATTGTTTATTTACATTCGTAAATATTATTTATGAGAGTGTTAATTTAGTGTGTTGAAAGCACAGCACAAAAAAAAACAGCATGAAAAACTTAGCAAGACGGCGCCTAAGGATGTAGAGCATCAGCTTTACCCTATACACTACAAGTGGCGTTTCACCAACTCACATAAGTACGCTCAGAAAGTAGTGAATTTACTAGAGGACACCCACTCAAATTGTTGGAAAATTAATTCCCGGTCAATTTCGTCCATNTAAGTACGCTCAGAAAGTAGTGAATTTACTAGAGGACACCCACTCAAATTGTTGGAAAATTAATTCCCGGTCAATTTCGTCCATACTGTGTGGAAACAGCTACACAACGTTTCTAAATAATTAAAAGTTGCAATAGGCACATAGGTTAGGTTAGGTTGGATGGCAACACTTTATGCATAGCAAAAAGGTGCCGAAGCTTCTAATATCCATCGATTTGAGGTCATCTAGATCATCGAAGAAATATTTACACTCACCCCATTTTTTTTAATATTTCCACTGTTTTGCAAGCTATAATTTTTTTTGTTATTTTTTTACAAAATATGACTATTGATTGATGAACGCCCCATCTCAGAATTCGGTTCAAAAATGCCCTATTTCAAGTGAAAATTTATTGAAAATGTGCTGAGATAAGGCGTTTTTGAACGATCTTCCACTCAGGTGTCAAAATGGTCAAATGAAAATGCGTAATAATTTATTTTTTATGAAATGTGACTATGAAATTTTGTTACTCATACGCCATGTATGAACTACTGATAAATTCATAAAAATAAATTGTGACACATTTTATTCATAAATTTTATCAATTTATTTATATTATTATATTATTTATCAATAAATTTTCTTCGTTGGTAGCTTAATGTTTTTGTAAAAGAACAGGCTTTAACACAAATCAAAAGAATTTCCAAATTATTTTATTTTAAACTTTTTTTCCCTATTAAAATTTGTTTTTTTTTTTCAGTCACAAACTTAAAATTAAAATGGGTTGCGAAAGTGACCAAAATAATGATTTGGATATGAGGCTTTCGCCATAAGAAATCTCACGGCTTATCGAAGATCCGAAAACTCTTTTGCACAGTCATTCATACAGCAGCGATCAATAAAATAGCAGCAAAATTTAAAATGGTGTGGTTTGCAACTTATATTTATTTATTTTTTTTTTTTTGTAATTTTCATTTAAAATATAGTTCCACAGATAAAAGTTTCAAAGCTTGCAAACAGTTTACAATAACTAATTTTTTATTTAGATTTCTTAGAATTTTTAGTGACTTGAAACTCGCACATTATTATACTAAAACTGAATGGGCTACACAACAAAATGTTCCAGAAATTCTGAATAAAAAGTTTTAAATTTTGATGAAAATTTTTTGAAGTTTGATTAATTTTTGTAAACTTTGTGCAAACCTTGAAACTTTTATTTACGTGATACAAAAATTTATAGGTAAAACCGCTGGGAGGCAGCCTGAACATTTTTGAAGTTTGCTAACATAACAAAAATTCTTTAAAATTTTCAATCTCACACCTACACTCTCACTTTCAATCTCAAATAAAAGCAAAATTTAATATTTTCATCTATTTATTTTTGATTTTACTTTTATTTCGCATTTGGGTTGCTCTGAAAATTTCAAATTTTATAAAGTAGACAAACTTAAAAAAACTAAAGGATTGCCGATGAATTTAGCGACCAATTTTACCTTTAAATACTTGTATCATGGATGGAACTATATTTTAAATGAAAATTATAAAAAATAAATAAATAAACATTAGCTGCAAACAACATCATTTTGAATTTTGCTAATATTTTATTGATCGCTGCATAACAAGGTAAAACCATTAAGAGGCAGTCTGACGTTTGCCAGCAAAATAATTTAAAAATTCCTGACTCAAACTCACATACACATTATCATTTTCAATCTCCAACAACAACAATTGTGAACAATTTAATTTTTTATTTTCAATTTTATATGATTTTAAAATGCTTGCAAACGTCAAAAAAAAAGATCATGGCCGACGAATTGAGAGAAAGAGTTTACCTTTCTGCCATGAAAAACAATCGCCGTTCGGAGTCGGCGTAAAACTGTCGGTCCCTCCGCTTTGTGTGACAACATCAAGGCGCACGCCACAAATCGGAGGAGAAGCTCGGCCAAACACTAACATAGTATGTGTAAGTGTCAATCTATTATTATTATTATGTATATCTGTAAATGTGACTGCATTGTTCACATGTTTTAAATTAAAATCTTGCAAATTTAAATAAGCGCCTGCGCGCAGGAAAATTAAAAAAAATATATACATACATATGTATAAAGCTGAAGTAGCGCACCCATACACATATAATCTTGAATTTGTAAACGGCTGAATAACCCACACGCATGCATACAAATGGACTCCTCATGCATACATACATACATACATACGTCAATACATCTGCATCAATAGCAGATATCCCAGAATGATCGATTGCACACGTTTACATACAAACATAATCGCACGCACAATACACAAGTCGATTGACAAGATTGAAAGCCATGCAAACAATCCCCACTGTATGTGTGAATACACACAAACAATTAAACTCGAGCCCACTCTCTTGGAGTGAGTGCCCTGTGCACTGAAAAAATAACACTTGACTCCAGCTGGTTGGCGCTTCGTGCTCGTTTTTTTTTTTCTGTTTCCCCCCTGAGCTCCCAATCTGACACTGTTGTTGTTGCTGCTGTTGTGAACGATGGCGCTTGTGCTGTGTGTGCTCCTCATCGTGCTCGGTATAACTTATTCGCGATTCTCTGTTATTACACTTCGATTCACATCGATTGAGATAAAAGAAACTGTAATTATTAATTTTCAGTTATTTGCCGCTGATATTCCGAAAAGTTCGCAACGAAATCGCATTACGGTCGGTGTCGATGAAGTATCGGGCAGCAAGTGAGAATATTTCGAGGCGCTGCAACACGAACGAGCTTCCTGCTGTTGGCGTGAAAGCCTACCGAAAACTATAAACCGGAAACGGAACTCAATCGCACACAAATAAGCGGCGATTTAAGTTAATTCAGACTAAAACCAGAAAAGAAAACAAAAACTAAATTTGTGTCCAATCTTCAATGAAAGTGAAAGCACACATACGAAACAGTCTGTGATGAAAGTGTTTAAATTTTAAGTGTGAAAAGGCAGTAAAGCACAACAAACTATCTTGGCCATTGTGAATGCCATACGAATGTGTGTTGACAGTGTCGCTAGTTCTATTTAAGGTTTTTAATTTTGACAAAAAATAAAAAACGAAAACAAATTTGTGTCTAAAAGTGAAGATGGCTGATCACACGCCAAAAGCCAACCTTGATTCTGAAGGTGGCCTCACCATTCCCACCATTTCGGCGAGCTTGTCCCACACGCATACGCCGCCACAGCAAAACGGACATCCGCCAATTGCCAACAACAATTGTGCGTCGCCCAATACGCTAAGCGACAGTTATCACCTGAACAGCGACAGTGGCAATGTTGTCGGCCGCAAAAACTCCCGCCTTTCGCTGCGTGGTTTCGGCCATTTTTTGCGTAAAAATTCGCGTCAAGAAGATGATCGTAAATACAGTTTGGCGCAGTTAACGACGTAAGTGTACAAACAAAATATGCATTTAAAATTTAATTATATTGATTATGCCAACAAGGTGAAAATAAGTGTTAAGAGGAAAGATTTCGTACCTCAGTAAGTAGAACATACCATGATAAAAACATAGCAAGGTAGAACCGTTCTCTCAATTTGTCGGCCATGATTTTTTTTTGAAGTTTGCCAATATTTTAAAATCATATAAAAGTGAAAATAAAAAATTGAAATTGTTCGAAATTGTTGTTGCTTGAGATTGAAAATGAAAATGTGTGTGTTGTTTGGAAACGTCAAGAATTTTAAAAGCGACTCTCAGCGGTTCTACCTTACTATATTTTTATCATGGAACATACTATATACATAATTGTTTTATTTTTTGTTTTGACGTGGAAAACGATTTTCGTTGTAATGACTTTTAAATACTTATTTAAAGTGAGGAGAGAAGAGTCTTTTTAATCGTTTGCAAAAATAAATCGTAAAAGAGAAAAGTTTAAGCTTAAACGGTCGGTATAAGAATGTTTGAACATTTTTAAAGGAATCAAAATAATGACATTTTTGAATGGCGAAAATCTTAAAGTATCAAAAAAAAAATCTTAAAGTATAATAGTACAAAAAAATTAATGGGATTAAAAAAAGAAAGAAAGAATAGGAATAAAAAATATTTCTCGCGAATTTGACTCAATTTATTCCAACTAAGTTTTGTAATTTGCATAGCCTAGTTTTAAAAATAATAATTTTTTTTTTTTTTTGAAAATGAAAAATTCAAATCCAGTGCAAATTTTGATTTTAAGCAATTGTTGATAACACTGGTTTACAGCAAAAATGTTCTATGGATGCCACTATCCAATTCCCATGTAGAATTGCTCGGTGATTCCGAAAATGGGGTTAATTTTTTTTATATGGATACGTTTTCGAGATATTTTCAATTTACCGTTATTCAGCTTAAAGCAAAAATTGGTTCCTTTTAATCACGTATATCTTACAAAACAATTCAATAATCTTAATATAAAGAACGACCAATGAAAGCCAATGAAATTCTCCATAAACCGCATATACATCACTTTCCGATAGGGCTTATAGATTCAGAAAAATTAATTAATCATTCCAGCTTTTTTTATTTTTTAATGAAAAAATTTTAAAAATCAAACTTTAACAGAGAAAAAAAAATTAAAAAATAACAGTTTCTGTGCCAAATTTTCGCATTCGTGCTAAAGCCTGTTCAGTTACAAAAACTATCACATTACTAATGAGGACAATCGACGGATGCATAAGAAATAATGAGTGGTCAATTGAAATTACACAAAGATTTTTCGTATGAAAAATGACCAGGAAAGAAAGTTACTCATACGCCACGTACACCTAAGTAGAACGTTTTTCCGCTCATTTTTCATACAAAAAAAAATCTTTGCGGATTTTCATTTGACCACTCATCCTCTTTGATTTTGCATATCACCGATAAATACTATGGCTCCGGCATAGTTTTGGTTAGGCCCTAAAATCGTTGTTTCACCGCCTTGGAAAAACGGTATATGACCCTTGTCAATGGGAAAAATCGCCAATTTACTCATAGATTTCGCACGATACAGAATGTGTACCTATACAAACGGGCATATGTACAATATGTATACTTACATATGTACATGCACTTCAACAAAACAGAAATTCGTTTTGAAATTTTCCAAAAATATCGCAGATTTGCATTCATTTGATATTTATTTTCGCCCATCAAAAGTTGAAAGAGTTTTTGGAACAAAAAAAAAAAACACACATTTCATTTTCGCTGTTTGTACGAGTACATTCGCATTCAAGTATTTACTCATAAATATGTATGTGCATATATATGTAAATATTTGATATTTTGAGAGGCAACACAAGCCGATGAAAAATGGGTTATTCCAGCTATGTATTGCAGAGTACCCAAAAGCAGAATCACAACAAAAATAAAAAAAAAACAGGCAGAAAAAATTGATTCAGCATTTTGAGGAAAAGCAAATGCGTAAAATTACGGATTAACAAATTTTTAAAATATAGGTATATTTATACATACGTTTTCAAATGGTTTAATGAGGCATGGCTCTCCCATTTTCGATGCTCCCAATGAGCACAACATTGCTGCAGTTTCTTAATTTTTAGCACACTTGCACATTTTTTTTTTTCATTTCCTCGAGCGATGAACGAATCCAGACCAACATTCAGAGTAGTTTCACCCCTTGGAAGAACTCACTCATTTTCATAGAATTTTGGTCTCAGTATCCCTATGTGGGTAAAATCTATTACATCAATAGCCGCCTAAAACGTATACTTTCCCTTGCTGTAACTCTTTTGATGTGTCCCACTTGGGATAAAAGTTGCTGCACGCGAAATTCAAGAAGTCGCTGGCTTTTCAAATTTCCCTCGTACATACATACATGCATATAGTTCGTTTTGTTTTTGTGTTATATTTGACTTTTTATGCATAGATCCTATCCTACACACCTGTATATCCCAAAATTTAAAAAATGGCTCACAAAAATGGTAGACTGCTTTTATAATTTATTTTTTTTTTTTATTTCACCCTTTGGATTTCCACTTGTAATGGGACCAATTTTCATCTTATGATTTGAATTAATGCTGTCTGCGTGGGGTTCAATTATTGTGTGTTTTAAATAAATAAATGTATCTGTTTATTACATTTCAAAAAGGAGGAGGTTTGCAATTTGGTGCAATATTTTTTTTTTATGTATGTTCCTCTATAACAGGGGTGGGCAAGGCCGAGGTCGAAAAGAACCACATGTAAATTCTAAATGCTACACAAAGAGCCAAAAAAGCAACAAAAGGAAAAGTTTTATTTTTAAATAAAATTATTATTAGAAATGAATAATATTAATTTTATTATTATTCTAATGTACGTAAGATAGATATTAAAGAAAATTCAAAATATCCATTTGGCCAAATTTTCAAAATTTGGTTTTACGTCAGTTAAAGCCGTTCGCGAAAGAGTTCTGTTAAATGTTGATTAGTCAATTGGTACGTTCGTTTAAAATCTACAGTAAAAAATGTCCAACAGCAAAATTCCGACGAAATGTCATCTGTTCTCTCACAAGAGAAACATTTGCAGAAACTTGCAAGTTCGACGAACAGCTGATAGAAATGTTGTTTACATTCAAAAGTATAAAATGGATGACGTAAGAAAACATATCGCGAAGTCTTATCTAACACAGTTCACTGACTAAACGAGTAATTACATACTTACTTCTTACAAGTTTAATTAGTCGCATTTCACTATTTTAACTTCCAATCCATCAAAATCAATAAAGAAATTTGCGCAAATTCCAACCAACTGTTTTTGATTAGCTGTTTTCTTGTTGGCGAAAATTTTTCCAGCAGAAACTAGCAGCTTTCCTTCAAAATGAAATGTCATTTTGCGCTCTCAATTTCCCCTACTTTCCACAAACACAAAGACCTGATAGTTTTTATAACTTGCAATGGCAAAGCTTTCACCCCTATTCTGGAACACTTTCGTATTCGGAGTTTGCTGCGAATCGTAGAAATGGTATGCAAAAAAGAATGTTTGCTAAGCAAAGGGCCGCATTTGCCCACCGTTACTCTATAACCTATTTTCCACCCCCGTAGATCCGGTCCTGATTGCGCATCTGCTTAAAGTGCAATTATCTTTCGGGTATAAGCTGTGTGTCTGCTTTTATTTAACCCAAATTGAAAAATAAAAATAAAAATAAAAAAAAAATCATGCGGAAGTATTTGCAAACAAAAAACAAAAACAGCAGCCAAACCGTATATTTCATAATTGTACATACATACTGTTCTACGTATACTTATGTACAAATGTGTAAGTATTTACTTACCCAGTAGAACCTAGGAGCATCTTACGATTGCTCTGTTAGTACTCCTTTGCGAGTTTACGAATACTCCCCATTGCTCTCTATGCTTCTGTGTATAAGTATGTAATTCTGTATACTCCTTTTACATGAGATGTCCGAGGGGGGCGAGTAATCCCTTTAAACCGATCTCCCGAAACGAGTAATAAAGAAATAAAAATCCGAGAAATCACCTTTATTGCTGCGAAATCAAGCAAAGAGGAGTACTCTTTTATCCTTCACATAGGGAGCATTATCTTCAAGTTCTAGTGGGAATGGATGAACATACACATCTGCAGTTCTGTATAAACTCAAAATAAAAACGAAAATTTAAATTAGCAAAACTTTTGTATAAAAGTGGATTTCAATCATTCAAATCTGCACCCCAAAAAGAAAATGTTGCGTCCTACATATCTACATACATATGTACATACATATATACACACGTGCATAAGTAGTATGTACTATGAAGCAATTTGCCCAATTTTTCATTTTGATATTTCTGTACGTTAAAAATATTTTACATAAATACTCGTACAATATAAAACATCTTTAAGCGTTCATACACACGCAGAAGTATACATGTGCATACATATGTACATACATACATATGTATGTTTGCATAACATTATTTAATTTGAATGTAACGCACCGCAATATACCGTGAATACACACATGCGAGTATATGTACTCCTATGTATGTACATTAGGGTGGTCCAAAAAGATTAAAGTTGGAATTTTAATGTGATTACCGCCTAGGATTGTTCTATATCGAAAAAATATACCTCTATTTTTTTTTTTTTTTTTAAATTAAAAAATATTTAGAGCACGCTCAAAGCCCTCAAAGTTTTTCACGTATTTTATATGGGAAAAAAACAACTTTAACGTAGAAATGGTATAGAATACTTGAAAACCAATATTTTTTGATCGGGAAACTCGGGTTCTCTTCAGGAGCCCTTCAATAATAATACCCAATTGTTTATTCAACCATTTTTTACACTAACAATTACAATTTTTATTAGTCGCCTCATTGCATTTTTTGGGGTTTTTGGCGGATCTATAAATTATAGTTACTATGAAAAAAATTTTAAATAAACAAGTGGATATTATTATTGGGAATCTCCTGCAGCGAACTTTATAGTAAACGATGGCATTTATTTTTTATAGATTCTTCTTTCGCATATTACTAAAAAAAACTTCCTGTAGATAGGCTCCTCATTGCCTCATGTATGCATCGTGTCGTCTCAATATCGACTAACCAAAATTATTCGCATAAGTTTTCAAAATACATACATGTATGTTTTTTGAAAGCAAACAAATAGTTAGCCTAAAAATCCAAAATGAACCGTTAGTCGACTAGTTGCTTCTGCACGATTATTTAGTTAAAAACTTGAAAGTAAGCGACCAGACGATTAAATAAATTCGACTATTCTTTTAAACAAGTCGATTACAAAGATCTCAAACAGAAAGCTTAGCTTTAAAGACGGGGCCATTTTTCATGCAATCAGACTTTCAAATGCCCTTTAAAGGTAAAATTTTTAATTTTTTTCTACTTTTTTGACCTAACATCAGCATGTAAAGAACATTAGCCCTGCTTTGATAACCCTAATGAAAGTTGCTGAGAAGATAACCATACGTCTGTGACAAGTATCATGGTTTGCCTGCCTCAACTTTGTGGTAATAAAGATTTTTTGATTTTTTTTTTTTTAAGATATGGGGTCTTTAAATATTTATTATTTAAATGTATTTTATTTGGAATATTTCAATCTTCATTTCCAGAAAAAGTTTAAAAATCATATATGTATACATATGTAGGTTATCAAAGCATGAAATGTAGATTTCTTTGCGCAATTACAGCAAATATTTGAGTTTAAAACTTTTTAAAAAGTTTCTTGCACACTATTTTCGGGCTTAAATTGCTTGCATGAAATTGGCTACTGTTTTTTTGAGACTTTGTTTATTCGACTGCAAATATGAAAAGGAGAAACTCTTCCGAAAATTTAAAGCGGTAATTTCTTAAAAACATTCACTTTTGACCTTTCTTCCAAATGAGCTTTTGCTTTATTTTCATAATAATAAAAACCAGGGACGTGAACCGGATGAAAAATTTGGTCGGTTCGGTTCAGCGGTTCGAACCGTTTTCACAATTTTGGATCGGTTTGTCAAAGCGGTTTTTTTGATCTTTGAACTCGGTGGGGGGGCTCGGTTCAGTTCAACGGTTCGGAAATCAAAAAAATAAAGAGCAAGTTTAAGTGTCAAGTGTCAAGTGCATGAGGTGGGATCGAAGTTCAACAGAAATGAAAAATAAGAATAAAAGTTGTTTGCATCAAGTTAAACTGACTGAATAAAGAGTTCCAGGTCTGCATTAGACCAAGGTAGTGAAAGTAAATGAAGTGCAAATTCCGCCAGATGGGAAAACAATTGATTGCCACCAGCATCCGTATAAGTTTGAACTTCTGCTCAAAATTGCATTGTATTACTTAACTTAATCCATGGTTTTCGACATCGATGTCATTTTTTCGACAAAAAATAGCACTGACAAGTCAAACAATTTCTCAAAAAGTTGGATTTCCCGCAATTTCTTATTTCCTGCCGCTAAATGGACTTCGAAAAAGACAGATTTGACGGGAAAAGAGCTAAATTGGCAGCCCTGGTCAAGTGCAACAACACGCAATTATAAGTGTAAAGTGTCTGTCAAATAAGATGCGTTGCCATCACATTTGTTATTGCCCTTTGGTAAACAAACATCGTATACTAGCAGACCCGGCGAACTTCGTCCCGCCCAAAATTTTTATATATTTTATTGAAACTTTTTGGTCCAACATTTTCACCAACAATTCACGTTTACGATTTCATTGGCACATTTTTCTGCTAAGATTAAGGTTTGGTGGTCATTTGCCGCTTTAAATAACCTAAGGAAAGTGTTATGTCCGTTCTTGAAATTCTCCAGTTGTGCGGCATTTCATAGCACGGTTATTCGCAAAGCGAAATAAATTTTTTCCTCTTCACTCCCTGGCGGCAACAATGACCCGGTTCTATAGTGAATGTCCTAGAAGCTTTACAGTATAGTAGGTGGCAATTTCAAAATGGGTGCGAATCATTGTTCTACAGAAATGCAATATACATATACTTATTTCAGACGAAATACCTTAAAAGTTTGAACGCATAATAATATTGGAAAATCACATCCATTGGGCCAATTGCAACGCAGGAGCGTTCGATATACTCAATGGTGCAACAGCTCGATTTAATCTGACCCTCACGGCCCCTTTTCTCACTTGGCTATTTTAAGTAATAGCTCGACTTGAGCACCACTTGGCAGCACGTTTTTGCAATAGTATTGCATACATATTTAAAACATTAGCCAAATCGGATCATAAATAAGATTTTTAGTAATAACTCAACTACAGCGCCAACTGTCGGATTAAATTGTGAAACTAAACCATCCAGAGACCCACTCAAATACACAAAAAGTTTCGTTAAAATCCGTACAACCATTTAGGAGGATTTCACTCACAAACACACCAAAAGAAGAATAAAAAAATTCATTCAAAGATAGCTAAAGGTCGGTAGGTTTGTAGGCCTCACACCCCTTTTCAAATAGCCCAAATTTTCTCCATGAGTATGGGCTTGATTTCAACTATATACATATCTCCATACGAAGTTCCAGTACTGTACCATGAATACTTTCAGAGATATGCAGTATAAAAATTCGATTTATATGGGAGGTGCCACGCCCCCCTTTCCAACAGCTGCCCTCTTTCTTCATGAGTATGCGATTGATTTCGTATATCTCCATACCAAGTTCCAGAACTCTACCATGAACACTTCCAAAGATAGGCAGTATGAAAAATTCGGTTTGTATGGAAGATGCCACGCCCCCTTTTCCAATAGTTCCAATTTTTCTCCAAGAGTATGCGATTTATTTCGTACATCTCCATACAAAACTCTAGAACTCTACCAAAAAATTTCCAGAGATAAGCAGTATGAAAAATTCGGTTTGTATGGGAGATGTCACACCCCTTTTTACAATAGCTAAAATTTTTCTCCAAGGGTATGCGATTGATTTCGTATATCTCCATACCAATTTCCAAAACTCTACCATGCACACTTTCAGAGATATGTAGCATGAGAAATTCGGTTTGTATGGGAAGTGCCACGCCCCCTTTACATATAGATTTTTTTCAGCCTAAAACCATCCTTGGGACACGTGCGGCAGGTGGCAGTTTCAAAAAAATCGGTTCAGCCGCTCTCGAGCCTTGCGAAAACTAACAAACGGCTTTCTAAATATATATTAGTTGAGATATATTATATATTATAATTATATTTTGACAGTATCCGTTGTTTCTGATTGGCGCAAAAAAATCTTGCCTAGTGACGAATTCGCCCCTTGATATGGTCGTTACTTAAAGCTATTTATATTCGAAATTGCATGAAAATTGGAAAACAGGAATCTATAAGCTTATCCAGGCAAAAAGCTACCTACGTACCGAATTTTAAGCAAATCGGACCATAAATACGATTTCTTCGAACAGATCGGTCCCTGGTCCACTTCTCGGACAAAATGGATCATATATGCTAATATATGCTAAAAAGCCACCTACGTACCGAATTTTAAGCAAATCGGACCGTAAATACGATTTTTTCGAATAGATCAGTCCCTGGTCCACTTCTCGGAAAAAATGGGTCATATATGCTAAAAAGCTACTCACGTACTAAATTTTAAGCAAATCGGACTATAATAAGATTTTTTCGAATAGACCGGTCCCTGGTCCACCTACAAGAAAAAAAGTAAAATTTTTTAGCCTAAAACATGGTGGTTACCGAAAGCTATTTGTATACAAAATTTCATGTAAATCGGACCAGCCCTTCTCGAGATTACCTGTTACAAAAAAAAGGGACTTCTCTTTATATAATTAGTATAGATTTGACAAAAAGCAAAATGTGGGTAAATTTATCTATTGAAAATTGGTTGAAACGAACCTTTAAACCTTTAGGAAAAGTAGTTCGGTTTTCGGTTCCTATCAAACATTTGTGGAAAATTTCGGCTCGGTTAATGGTTCAGTTAATTGATAGAAAAAACCGGTTCACGTCCCTGATAACAACACTATGCAGGGAATGGAAGGTAACAACCTCAATACTTTCCCCAATTAGAACTTTCATGATTTCTTTCTTAAAATCTGTGCTAAAATATTTTTAACGGTTTCAGTTCAAGGTTTGGTAACACTCATTTTAAAATCTTAACACCCTTTCTGCAAAATTTCCCAGTAGGTATATTTCATAACAATCGGTGAATTTTTTGTTGCATTTTAAATTTCTTGTATGTAAAACCGGGATATTTAAAAGATATCTAAACATAGAGTTGTCTTTGTTTCGTTAGGCCGAGTTATATAGCAATTTAACACACTGATCAAATAAATCTCAATAATCTAAACTAATTGAACAATATTATCCTTAAGTTATGTTCACATTTAAATATTAACTCAATCAAATCTCGTTTTTTAATCACCCCATTTACACAGGCAAATCTCAGATTATTTGCCGTAAAATTTGTTGTGCTTGTTATTCTCAAATCTTAAGGAAAAGTTAAGTTTCTTCTCTGCGCCACCGTGTGCAGTTTTTTCTGCTATATTAAGCAATATACATATATTTTAACTTAACATTTTAGTTTACGTTTACATTTGGTATTTCTCCTCTTCTTCGCAAAAACAATCGATAATACTAGGTTGGACACCGAAAAGTTATCGATTGAATCTGAGATTATTTTGTAATTACAGATTAAGAAGGGACGAATTTTATATGGCTAAACTTTTTTTCTAATTACAGATTAGGGAGTTAAGCTCGAAAATGAGGATAATCTACTTATATGTAAACATAGTATTACCTTATATTTACATACATACATAGTATTAAGTATGTACTTGCGAAATAGCAATAATAGTTTTAAAGTGTTTGAAACTCGAAACTTATGTAATCTTATTAATCTTTTTTTTTTTTACAGGGAAGCGCTGCCGAGATTAGATAATTACAGAATATCAAAGCGTAATATGAAGAGGCCATCGATTGGCGAACTGCATGGCGAGCTGCAAGAACAGGTAAGCCAACAAAGCGTGTGAACTAATAAATTACAGTTTTTTTCTTCCTAATTCCTATTGTCAGTTATAATATTGATTTGGTTTAAAATCGGTATAATACTTTGCTGTTTCGAAGGAGAACAATTTAGTCTGCCTTCTCCCAAAATTTTTGTGGAACTGGTGGAGAAATCGGCCAAAGTCTCTTGGGCGGTTACAGTACCAAACAATAAGAATAAGGTCAGGTTTTTACAGCATTTTCACTCAAAATCTTAATCACCAAAATATGCTTGGGAATATATATTACTAGCTTGTGAACTAGTGCAAATCGCACACCATCTTCAAAAGAGTCACAACTCAAAATTTGGCATTTTTGAAATTATGCGCTAAAAATGTACACAGAGCTTTTATTTACCATAAAAGCTTCAAAGCTTGCAAAAAGTTCACAAAAATTAATTTTTTAAATAGATTTCTTTGAAATCGTTCAAGCCGTTTAAAATTACCGTTGATTTTTTTTTTTTTTTTCAATTTCTTCCATATAATAACGCATGAATAAATTTTATTTTTTATTGCAAAATCGCCCTATCTCAGTAAATGGTTTAAAAACGCTTTGTGCAAGCTCTGAAACTTTTATTTATGTGGTTTCTGTTAAAGATGAAAGCATTTTATATAAAAATTTTGAATTTCACTGCTATTATTTTACTCGCAGCTATATGTACTATGTATATATGTAAGTATGTATCAATTTATACCTATGCAGGGACGCATACGGGGAAAATTGTTTGGGGTAGCGGTACACATCTAAAGATAAACCATCAAAAAATAACGAAAATTCGCTACAAATAATACTATTTTTCAAATTGTTTGCTCTCCACACATACATTGCATGAATGTAATGCAAGTACATTAAATAAAATTAAAATTAAAATATAAAATGTATAATACTTAAACTTTTTAAGGTTTCATAAATTGCATTGTATTTACATGAAATTAACAAGAATTCAAAGAAATTTTAAATAAAAATTGTTAAACCAGAATTTTATTAAAACTAGATAAAATAGTTCCAAAAAAGTTTGTTGTTCCTCGATTTTTCAGCAATTTTTTCTATAATTCATTCCACTGTAGGAGTAAAGTTTTTTTTTGCGGCATGGAGTTTTGATGTTCAAACCCCATCCCCCCTTGGCTACGCCAATGTTCCTATGTATGCATTATGTACATTCGAATATCTTGAGCTGTTTATACCAGTAAAGTCCGGTAATCCTCATAACATTGGCCAGGCTGTGTCCACTTAAACGATTGCCAATTGCACTTCAGTTTATTTCGATTAATTAATGATTTTGTGTTTCTTATATATGTATGAATATTTACTTATACACATGTATGTGTGTATCTACATACATACTATGTACTTACATAGATATACATCTATATATAGTGTCAGTATGATTGACCTACACCTCACTGCTAGTTTCGATATTATTGATGTAAATCTTATAGATATAGCTTTTTTTATAACAAGTATTCAATTTTCGTTAGTTTTTAAATACATGTTGCTTAAGTCTTTTCAAGAGTCCTTTCCATTTGTTTTTTGTTTTTCTCTTTTACAAGAAACCAAATCTACGGTAATAGGTGTTTAAGTCACTAAGAGAAATTTAGAATTAAATAGTGAGTTTAAATCTATATACATATAATAAAATTGTAACAGGCCGATGTCTGTACATTATAGGTATTGAAAGAAAAATTAATATGAGGGGTCTTTATTAGAGCAAAAGAAGCCCAATCAAGAATTTTTAGTGAAACATTGCGGGTATTTGTTAGGTTTTTTTTTATATAAATCTTTATATTTAAACAGTCGCTTCGTAAATTGTTACAAGTTAACATTTACTGACGTTTGACATCAATAAATATACATAGTTTAAAAATAATTTATTTCAACAAAAAAGGTCATAAACAAATCATTTACTCAACGCTAAGTAGTCTGAGGATAACAACAATGCTATAGTGTCGTAAAATATGTAAAACAATGACAGCTGTCGCCACACCAGTTGCATTTGCTACGACTCTCACTCCCTTTAGAATTGCCGCGAATAACGTGTTTACAACTCTAAAAACATGCGTGCATATGTATATATGTATGTACATGGGGCATTCCAGCCTAACTCGGATAGCATGTGACTTTTGCATCACCGATTTTTTGATAACTTTTTATGTTACTTGTATAGTATCGAATGGGAGAAGATTTCCTGATTTCTTTTTAATTCTAGCCGTTTTCGAGATATCGATTTTTGAAAACAAAACTTTTTTTTAAATACATATAAGTTTTGGAAAAATGGCCGATTGGGTGCACTTTTTAACCGACTTCAAAAAAAGAAGCAGGTATCAATTCATCGAATACTTTTTTATGTATAACTTTGAACCTCGGTCAAACCGATTTCGATAATTCTTTTTTTTTTTTATCGAAAAGGTTTAGATCCGAATCATAGGATCATGAAGAAATTAACAGCACTCCAAAGTTTTTATATTTTCATTTTTCATTTTCGAAACACCTTTGCAATTATAATAATTTTAAAATTTTTAATATCAAATGTCGATTTCCTAGCATGATAATGAGATAACAATGCAGTTTTTTTCCAATTTTCGAATAACGAAAAAGCTAACCAATTTTGTGCAACTCAACGCCTGACTGACTGATACCACATTGAAAGTGGTTATCAAAAACTGCAACTCGTATGAGTGTCCAATTGTTTGATCAAACTTTAAGGAAAACGATAATAATTGATTGCGCGAAAGTGATTAATCGTAGCGTATTTAGTACTTCCCTAGCGTATTGCATCCCACTGTAATTATGCTGAGTATTTCTTCCTCTACAATGAATCTAGTGTTTCACTTTGTTATTAATGCATTTGAATTGACGCAGGCAGAGATCTTGGCACTTAAAAATTGGAAAAAAAAGAAAAGTTGGGGAGTGAGTGATAGTTTGTTAGAAAGAATGTTTAAGAAAATCGATAAGTACATGCTTTACATGAAAAATTTTACAGAAATGGGGGTTTGAAAATTTTTTCGATTGCATGTCCCAAAAAGGAAAACTTCCAAAAAAAACTTGTCCCAATCGGCCCATTTTTCGCTAATTTATGGGTGTTTTAAAAAGGAAATCGGCGAGCCTTCTCTTAGTTGGTACTATAAAATAAAAAGTTATGAAACAAGCTGAGATGTAGTGATTGTCAAAATTATACGTTTGTTTTGTTCTGATTGGCAATGAGTGTATAATTTGTTAGTCTAGTTTTTTTTTTTTTTGGGCTGGAATGTCCCACATACATACATATGTACATATGCACATACGAGTACATTGGTACAACATTATGTAGTTAACAAGAACATCAGCTGAGTGTTGTTGGTTGATAATAGCGGAGAATGCAGTAGTAACGGTTAGCGCAAAAAATAATCAAAAAAAAAAAACAGTTGAGATAATAAAAATAACAACATCGTTGTCGGTGGCAGCTTCAGTAATATCGAACATGTCATCAGTATGTTAAATGACTGACAGAACCAGATACAACCGGAAAGATAGCTACGTGTGGACACTTTTAGATGAGGAAAAATACAAACTAGTGGAATTGGAAACGTTACAAACAATTAAATTGTAAAAAAAACAAAAAAAAAAAACATTTGAAACGAAAAATCCACGACATTGAAAACCACTCCAATGTGACAATCACTATTTGAATTCGATACAATTACTAAGTACTCAGGTGATAAGCCAGAAGGGATATCTGTTGTCGCCAAAATTTATTGTACTCGCATTAATAATGATAAATTCAGGAAAAGTACTTAAAAACTATATTTTTATATTTTCTTTTTTGGAAAATTTTCTCATACATTATATTTTTTATTTACATAAATATATACATAGATAACGAAGTATGTAGAATAAACGGATTCTATAACATACAGATAATCTATAGAAACCCTTAACAACAAAACTTTTTCTCAACCGTTCTAAACCTTTTTCTCACGTAGGTTTTAAAATTTATCTGAAATTTAAACACAAATTTTGTTCTGAAAATATGTGCATGAAGAGCAGATTAAGATTAAGAGCGAAGATTAAGACCTACTTGTCGAAGTGGCGCAAAATAACTTAAATTTGTTTATAAATAAATTCCCGCATCTTTTTTTGCAATAGCTGGATGTTTTCGGTAATAAAGCAAGCTTTCTAAATACATATACAGTCTGTGTCGAAAATATGAATATCCTGACGTTTCTTTTTTTATATTTTCCATACCAAATTTTTCTTATTTTTTAGAAAAATGTAGTTAGTTCAACGGCAAAATCCAGCAGAATCGTTTTTTTTTCAATTTCGTAGAGAACTCGGGAAAATTCAAGAAATACCAAAAAATTGTCATCAAAATTCAAGCTTTTCAATTCCAGTTCTTACAAAATTTTTCAGTGTGCAGTTTTGTAGCCCATTAAATTTGCAAGTTTTAAGTCTCTAAAAAATTCCCGTTGTTTTTTGATAATTTTTTTTGTCAAGGATGTTTCACATTTTCTTCCATATAACGCATGAACAAAATCTATTTTTATCGTATATAGAGAAAATGCGCGACACCCTCGACCAAAAAAACAAATTCTCAAAAATCATCGGTACATTTTAGAGACTTGAAACTGGCACCCTATTATACTTAAAGGGCTACAAAATTGCATACACAAAATTTTTCTAAGAAATGGAATTGAAAAGTTGAAAATTTTGATGACAATTTTTTGGTATTGCTTGAAAAAATTTATTCTGCTTGTTTTTGCTGTTGAACTAAGCCGGCATAAAATTGTAGGTCCTTTTATTTTGTGTTGTAACATCAGGACGCACACCAAAAATTTGGGCAGAAGCTCAGCCAAACATGTAGAAAAAGTGCAAGCGCCAAAATAATATTATTATTATGTATGTAAATATGAATGTATGCATGTACATATGTATGTATTAATATCAATTGAATATCACATTTGTTTGCAGTATTTAAATATGTATTACCCTT